ATTATTATTATTATTATTATTATTATTATTACTATTATTATTATTATTAGTTTATTACTTATAAGTTATAAATTGTAAGAAACGCAAATGTTTCAAAATTGAAATTGATTCAATACGACATAGTTAATGACTTAATGAGTTAATGCACATCAATATCTGACATCTCTATATGTATATTATATATATCTGTGAGTCTGTGACTGTATATCAGTATATATATATAATAAACTAATAATAACTTAATAAGTAATACTAATAACTAATAAAGTAATGAAAATCTAACCATTGTTTTTCATGGGCATTCAATCTAACCGTTGTATATTTGACTATTCGTACATTAGTATTGCATAATGATTTCATCACCACTTTAATTAGTGATTTCGTGATTTCGTCCATTTAACTTATTAAGTTGTTTGAGTTAGTAATCTAAATAAAGTAACAAACTAAATAACGAATCCATTTAATCTCGTGTAAGTTATAATTTATAAGAAATGCAATGTTTGGAAATGGAAATTGATTCAATACGATATTGTTAATGTATATGTGATTATAGATTAATTATTATGTATATCATATCGTACGAATGTACGGTTGGTATCATTATCATACTATCATAAGTATCATTGCCTCATTGAATTATTGGTATGTACTACAATCGATAAACATATTTACATATCTGATCATTAAAACTTAAAAGTTTAAAACACTTGTTGATCAATCTAATTGAATACTTGTACATTCTTAATTATCGATTTATCGTATTATAAGTATCAACTCATTAAATCATGGTCATGACGCGATCTTTAAAACAATCATGAATTCATGACCTAAACCGCTTATAAACCGAACCGACATGATCCAGACCGTTCATAAACCGAACCAATTGAACTGTGTAAACCCTCCACTAAACCGGCCCATTTCAAACTGAACCGACATGATTCGCACCGTTTATAAACCGAACCGATATTGACCCGGGTAAACCCGCCCCTAAACCGACCCATTTCAAACCAAACCGGCTTGATCCAAACCGTTTGTAAACCAAACTGACATTGACCCGGGTAAACCCGCCCCCTTAACCGACCCGTATCAAACCGAACCGACATAATCCGAATCGTTTATAAACCGACCCGCTTATGACCCAAACCGAATTTAAACCGCAAAGAAATAAACCGAAACCAAACCGATCCGTGACTAACCCAAACCGAACCAAACCGACCCGCCAGCTAAACTAAACCGTTTCAATCCGAACCGCTTCAAACCGAAACCGACTCAAACCGAGGTCAAACCGAACCGCCAGACCGAAGTCCCACCCCTAGGGGTAATACATTAAGGGGTTATAAAAGTCAAACTTGAAAAAACAAAAGTAATTAGAGGTGTTGTGGTAGAAGACATGGTGTTTACAAATGAAATAAGGTAGTTGTGCCATGAGGAAAAGAGAGAGATGGAGGAATTATTACTTTCATAATGAGGGTAATAGTTACCCATTCTCCCCTTAGTGTAACTATTACTCCCAAAATGAGGGTATTGATTCCTCTTCTTTCACCTCACACCACTATCACTACATAATTTTTTTACAATCACACCATCACTATCTCCTTCTTCCCTATTTTCACATTCATTTTGCTTAGTTTGACTTTTATTATCCCCTTAAAGTATTACCCCCAATCCAAGCATGCCCTTAGTGTACCCTTTTGCTCGTTTATAGTTGCCTAAGGTTGTCCCTAAGGGATAATTCTCCTTGATGTACCCTTTTGCTCCTTGGAGTTATGGAAGATAAATTATTAATTGATGTTTGATAAAGTTGATATTACAAAGGCTTGATAATGTTCATCTTCCATAACTCTAAAATTAGAAGATATGGAAGATGAACATTTTTTTTTTTTGAATAAATGGAAGATAAATGAACATTAAAAGTAAATGATGTAAATAAATAGTTCATTTATAATTGATGTGAGATAATTCTCTTTTCTTCTCCCTTCCTCTCATAATAGTACGAGTACACGTTAGACTTTGAAAGTAAGTGATGTGAATGAATTTTTCTCTTCTTTTCTCACACCGTTATTACTTCTAGCACCAATAGCAGATAAGGATTACAACCATTAGGAAAACTATAGTAATCATAACTCCTTTTCTTGCTTGGACGACTGAAACATTATGGCAATGAAATGGATGGATCTTTTCTTTTGTCTCCGAACGATACGTGCACATAAATTCAGGGCAAGTATGGGCATTGAAAGAGCTTCTTCCCATAGTTGATGGTTTCCAGGACGGGCATTCTGATTGTAGTTGGGCCATTTTCTTCCTTGCCTTTGCTGCTCGAGATTAAGAGCCAATGAGAAGTAATCATTGCTTGATCTGTATAGAAATACATTATGATGATGCTCATTTGCTACATTGTTTAGAGCTTCTCCGCCATTGTTCCCTCGCATTCATGGAGGACATCGCTCCTCTCTTGATCCTCATTTTCTCTCATTCCTGGTTCTCGGAGATGACATTGGCCTCAACTTTGAGGCCGCTATTGATCAATGATGATTGGGGACGGGGTATTGAATAGCATATTCTCTTGACTTCTTTATTAAAAGGTTTAATGTGTCGACTAGTTTTTGACTTTTCATAATCTCATCGTATTGCTAAAAATACAATGAATTGTTCGGGTTGCTTATTGCTTTAGTATGGGTAAAGTCGAATATCGGATCACAAACTTTGTTCAAAAGTCGAAACCAACACTTTTTTTTTAACCAAGTCAGTTTTGACAAGTAAATTACACCGCTATATATCAACAGTGGCGGACCCAGGATTTTCCGACTGGTGAGTCACAATCGATAATCAAATATGTTAAAATCTTACATGAAAACAGTGAACATAGGAAAGAGAGGTGGAAGGAAATACCAAAGTAAGGCACCAAATGTATATATAGAATCTATGTTATTAAGTTGAGAATATAAAAACTTGTTGAGTAATTTGTATACATTCTCTAACCGTAAACAATCAAGCATTAGACATGAAGAGCAAATCAATCCATAGAGTAGCATAGGCCAAGAATAACACCACTTAAGCAATGGTAAAAAGAAAACTTACCAACTTTCTTCTGCGTTTCTTCATTGATTGAATCTAGATGAGCCTGCAAAGACATAATGGTAGAACCGTAAAAACCAATTTGTGACTTGGCCACAAAACATAAAAAAAAAAATTAAAAAAATAAAAAGTCAAATCTTATTTATATAGGTTTCTCAAAACAAGCATATTGGATGTGCAAAATGAAAGAAGTAACATATTCGATCATACACATCATAGAATTTGACATAATTAACAAAAAGCTTCACATCAAAAGCCCCAAATATAACCAAAGAAATGAAAGCCTAGCAAAATTGGTCGTGAAGATCATCCAATTACAGTCCCAACCAAAGGGGTTAGACGAAAACATAAGCATTGATACTCGATATTCAGTATCTGACAATATACTACTCATAAGATTCTCTCCTCAAATTAATCCAAAATTATCGAGCCACAACCATTTCGACATCCATCAACAAAATACACCCAGATGCTCCCCACTAATCATCCAAAATCCAAACTGGAACCTAACACACCATAGATAACAGTTCCATCATCACTAATCAATTAAGTATCAATGAATACTAATCTATAAAACCATATCAACATATCATACATTCATACCATTATTTAAAAATCCTGTTAATCGACAATATCACATTCAAAGAAGCTGCAATTGCAAACAACAATGATACCAATAACCAATTTACTGAGCTGCATACATACCAAAAATATATATTGACCCATTAATCCATTTCGACAGTCAAAACCAAATAACAGGGATTAATAACCCCCCTCAGTCAATAAACAAAAACACAATAAATTACCAAACAATCAACAAAATTAAAGGGCATTGTATTATAAAATGAGCCAATCGACCAAATAAAGTCAAAAAATCGAAAACAAATCGATCAAATAAACCCCAAAATAATCGAAAACCAATCGACCAAATAAAGCCAAAAAATCGAAAACAAATAATGATCAAATAAACCCCAATAAAAACGAAGCGATTTTGCTGAAATACACCCACAAAGATTGAACCAAAAAAATTCGAATACACATTGAACATGTCGAAAACAACAGGAACATATATGCAAAAATCCACGACAATCAAACCCAAAAATTTGAAACTAAATCAAGACAGAGAAACAAGATCGAACCTGATAAATGTGACGATGGGAAAGTCAATTAGTCATCTTCCACAACCTCGGACGCGAAGTCACGAACAGAAGAATGGAGATGAGGCGATTAACAATGGAGGCGATTAGGCGGAGAAGGCGAAGTCACGACTCACGATTCACGAAGAGAAGAATGGAGGCGATTAGGCGGAGAAGGACTGAAGGAGAAGTCACGATTCACGAAGAGAAGAATGGAGGCGATTAGGCGGAGAAGGAGAAGCCAGAGCACGAAGAGGCTAGGGCTTGAAAGCCTTGAACTCTCCGTCTCTCCTGTAACTGATTTTAATTTTTTTTTTTTTTTTTTTTTTTTTTTTTTTTTTTTAAATAACTTAAAAAAAAATTTTGGGCCTGGTGAGTCACTTGACCCACCAGGTCTAAGCCCAAGTCCGCCACTGTATATCAAAATTGGAACTCTTGCTATCTTCACAACCACAGTTCCACCTATTTCCCTCAAAGACTTTTTCTTCATTCACATGAACTGATGAACCTGTATGTCCTGCAAGCTGCAGCTGGTCCATCCCATGACCAAATATCACAAATTTATAGATAGTACAATATAGCTTGCCCAAACTAACATTGCCAAATTGTGGCAGGAAGATGTAACAATATTTTAGTAGACTTCTTTTCCCTTGATATATCGCCATATCACTTGACAATTTGACATACGGAGTAAATGGTTTTAGTATTAAGACGTACCTTAATGGTTCTTGGAATGATCAGAAATTCCCGTGAAGCAAAAACATATGAAAAGAATATTAACAAAAGAAATTGTCTACCACTCTACCCAGCAAAGGACCTGCTTGTACTTCATAATTCGATAAAGGTAACATTCATAGTAGAATAATAGACAATTCTGCAAACTTTTATCACAACAATGAGTGCACAATAGAGCTACGAATGTCAACCAATGTGTAAACCACCATACGAAATAACTAAGCTGATCCAACTAGACATAGTCCTAAAGGCCCTCCACCCTCTAATGAACTCCTGCATAGGAAGCTTAAGTAAAACAAATCTAAAACTCTACTGAACCCTAAACGCATTCTCACTTCCTCTTCTTTGCAGGGGGCTGGTCATCTTCTTCCTCCTCATCTTCCTCTTCCTCCTCACCATCTTCAGCATCGTCATCATCATCATCCCCGTCATCATCGTCGTCGTCATCGTCATCACTTCCTCCTTCCCCATTAGCATTAGCTCCTGGCTCATCATCCTCAGGGTCACCCTCATCATCATCGTCTCCCCCAGCTTCTCCTCCAGAGAAATCCTCATCATCATCATCATCCTGATCCTCTACAGCATCTTCATCTTCTTCATCGTCATCCTCTGTGTCACTACCATCTTTGTTCTCAGGACCAGGTCGTTCAGTTTTTCGGAGTTCCTCTATAGGAAACCTGTACAATCATTGTTGAACAATCAAACGCTAAGGATTTTGCATACCAATTACAATTTTTGTAAACTGAAGCAAGAATATATACCTGTCCTCAATAGCAGTCAAACCAGGCAGCTTGCTAACACCCCCCAAGAGAGCTCCAGTCTGAAACCATTTCATGTAACATCAATTTTAACATAGTATAATCGTATTCTTGCATCATCAAAATTGTTGTTCAGCAAACTTTTCAAGGAGTATGGAATTTAGAGAAAACACAAGTGTCACAGATCATTTATGATGAAACCATTTTCCTATGAAGACAAAAAAAAATGCAAGGCTTCTATCATACACAAACTAACCCCAAAGACCTCCATTACACTCATTAGTCATTAAAATCTTGAGAATCTAAGAAAAAGACAGTGAATTCAGAGCTGAGCACTTGATAGTGTAGCTCTTACAAGTTTTGATACAGTCTGAAAATCGACTTTACAGTACATCACTTCTCAAGATAAAACAGTATCCATCCTATTAGCCTCATGATGGCCAACCGAAGAAAGAATGTGTAGCCGCTTACCAGATAATCTTACTAAGTTTACCCTCCACACCCCAAACAAGACTTACTCTAGAACAGTCAATCATTCTCTAGTCAGGCCATCCACACAAAATCTACAAAGTTCGGTCACTTATCTGATTCCCAAAGTTTAAAGATTAGCAATCAGTTCCATACAGAAATTGTGTCTGTCAAAAGAAGTCCAACCCTGGGAAGGCAATCCCGGAGTTTTGTCAGAAGCTTTTCTCGTGCTTAAAGATAAAGACTAGCAAACAAGAAGCCCTTTTTTTTCCCAAGAAGAAACAACTGGAATAAATATAGAATCTATATCCTATCATCTCAGTCCATAAATTCGAAAGCCTAGTTGATCTACTTCTCTGTCCCAAAATCCGAAAACATTAATTCAAAAGCTAGTTGTAATCTACTTATAAAAGGAAATACTCCATAGCAACCAAATCTAACAAAGGAAGACAACTGCCCATTAAATTGCAGAAGTAAAACAACTCATAGTGAAACAAACCATAGAAATGCAAAACGAACCCGAAAGTTTGCTCATTCGACTAGCAATTTGATTCAAATACAGCTACACAAACAACCACAATTCACAACACATGCTAACTTTTTCAGACCAGTTCATCCCAAAATCTTGCTGAAATGTGACATAATTGAAATCATATTAACCAGAACAAACTGCAATTATTCTTCTTGAACCAAAAAATGGAATGTATGTTCAGTATAATTAAGAGGTAAAGAATACTAAATTACAAGACCTGACAAAATTAAGCTAAATAGTATTCAAATCAAAACAGCCAATTTCAAACATTTATAGAGATTGAGCAAAAATATAGTGCATCAAAATTAGAGAAAAAATTCAGAGAATTAAGACAGGAAAATACACAAATTTAACAAGAATTTTAAGAGAAATTATACCAGAAGAAGAAGGCAAGCAAGAGAATTTCCAGCGAGCAAAAGGGTTTCCAACATGACGAATTCCAAGTTGGAGGAGCCATTAATTTGACCCAATTGAGAGCTGTAAAACCCTAATTCCATGGTTTCCAAAACCCTGCAAATTTCAGGAGAAAATTAAAGGAAGAAATTGAAATTAGAAGATAAAACAAAGAAAAGAAAAAGTAGAAAGTTGGAGATACCGAGAGGAGAGAGAAAGTGGACAGTGGATGAGCAAAGGACCGAAAGAGAGAGAAAGTGTGTGTGTTTGTTTGGGTGTTGGGGATTGGGGGTTTGGCCAACTATGGTCTAGGGTTCGTTTTGTCATAACCAGAATTGGTATTTTATCCCTTCTTTTTTAATTGTAACCTATACGTATAGTCTCATTATTAAGACTAGAATAGACCCGATCTACAAGACTCAACCTTCTAGTGTACCATACGAATGTGATTATATCATATGAAATGTGATTATATTATTACAAAAGTGATTATATCATCTTGAAACTATTATGTAAATGTATCACTCAAAAAGTGAATTTATCATTATAAAAAGTATCAAATAGTAAATTACATCATTCAAAAGATGATTTTTAAATTTTATCAGATAATTATATAATGATAATTATATAATCTCATTAAATGGTTTAATATGAGATCAAAATATGACTCACAAAAAGATAATTATATCATCTAAAAAAGTGATTATATCATCCAGAATGTGATTATATTATTTGAAAGTGTCAAATTTTGGGTCTACAATAATTTATTGTAGACCGGGTCCATACAAGACCAATTATAGTCTCATTTACTCGTGTTTTTGTCCTGAATTTCTAATATACGGAGTATAATTTTTAAGAGTATATTTAATGCTAGGTAGCCTTAAGGATTATGTATAACATTTTACCTTTTTTTTTTTAATAATTACTTTGTACGTTTTAAGGAATAATTATTTCCTATATCTCACATTACATGTTTTAAAGTAAATACGGAGTAACTCCCTTTATCAAAATATTTGCATATTACCAATGCAAATATTTCTATTCATAGTGCGTGTTCGGCAAAATGTAGCTGTAGAGCTAGTTGTTAGCTGTGATAGTGGCTGTTAGTTGTATGTGTAGTTGTTAGCTGTCAACTACGGAGTAGCTGTTAGCTGTGAAAATAAATAATTAAGTATGAGTGTTTGGTAAACTAGTTGTTAGCTGTAAAATTCTAAAAAAAATAGAAGAAAATTTCAACCGCTACTTAGCTTTTCACAAAAGTTAATAATACTCCGAATTAACTTTTCACAAAAACTACTTCAACCACTAAACTTTACCCCCACCGCTCATTCCCAAACACTCATAATTTTTTTTTTTTAAGTAGTGGTTTGAATAAGTCAAACCATTAAAAGCTACCTAAAAGCTACTCAAAAGCTAATGCCAAACACGCCTATAATACTCCGTAATATTTACTTACTTCAAAGGCAATTAAAGTTAATTTAATGTTTTAATATTGAGTATTTGATATATGTAACATCTACTGTAATACGAGTAATTAATTTTCACTAGTATCTTACTCCGTATTTTTAAGGGATTAGTAACAGAAGATGTATAATATTATGGAAATAGTCCAAATTATAAATTTTGTGTAAGAATGAATAATAATTAATTGTATAAATATAATATACTCCCTACTACTCCGTATTTATTACCCATTATAAAAGATTATATCCAAAATAGTAGGATATTATATTATTATGTACTCTTACATAGGATGATAGGAATAGACTCAAGCCAAGATATTGGAAACTCAAGATGATGATAGAGAATCAAGAGAGAGAAAATGAAGAACTCTCCAGAGAAGAGACCGACTTGATAAATAGATCTAATAAAAAATTCAAGCGCAAGGAATTTGAAGGATCAAGAGGATTAGGACCTGAGGCTGCCTATGGCTCAGTAGGATCTCATGTGTCACAGACTGTCTTATCTCAGCAGTATGGACAAGCAAAGACTGGAGGCTCATATAGCCATGCTGCGGATGGTTATGGGGATCAGTTGGTTCGTTCCATGAATCAACAACTGGATTCTAATGGAGAGTTTGAGGAAGCCTCAGATGATGAGTCGGATGAGCAGGAGGATGATGATCCTAACTGTCCTGTGATTAAACTGTCTAAGGAGGAGAAAATTCAATTGAGGCAACCATGGAGAAATGCCTTAATTATAAAGTTATTTGATAGAAGAATGAGGTATGAGGACCTCATTAAGCGTTTGAGATCTAGGTGGAGTTTGAAAGGAGACATCTCCTTGACTGATGTTGGATGCTCATATTATATTGTGAGATTCACTAACTATGAAGACTATTCCTTTGTCATGACTCAAGGACCATGGATGATTGGAGACAGTTATCTAACCATCCGTAAATGGATCCCAAATTTCATACCAGATGAAGAACCAATCAAGGTGCTAACAGCTTGGGTGAGAATACCAAATCTGTCTGTCGAGTATTTTGATATGAGCTTCCTGCAAAGGATAGGAGAGAAAATTGGAAGAGTTATAAAAATTGACAAGCACACCGAAGCAATGAGCCGTGGACAATACATTCGTCTATGTGTTGAAGTGGATATTTCTAAGCCATTACTATCAAAATTCAAGCTCAATGGAAGGGTTTGGTTAATCCAATATGAAGGCCTTAGACAAATATGCTTTAAGTGTGGAACCCTTGGTCATAAGGAAGATGATTGCCCTCTATTTGCATCAAAGCAAAACAGGGGGGAAGGTGAACAGACTATTAGTGACAGAGTCCATAAGAAATCAGAGCCAACTGAACAATACGGAGCCTGGATGCTGGTTCAAAAGCCGAATAGAAAAAACACTAAGAACAAGGAAGCTCCGGCTAGGAAACCACCGTTTAGTGGTGAAGCTAACAGTACAGAGGCTAATAAAGGAAACCAAATTCAAGGAAGGAAGAAACAAATTAGTCAAGGTGTAATTCAGGAAAAATCTAATTTTGGGTCTAGGTTCGATGTATTGCAAAGAGTTTCCCAAGTGGAAAAGAAGATTGATTCTGATGAATATGGTAATTCAGAAAAGATGGATTCTCAAGGCTCTGTTTTGGAAAGAAATTACACGAAAAAAGGAGAAGAAGTTGAGGCTAGCAATTTAAAAGGAAAAGAGGGGTTCTCCAAGGAATTTGCTACGGCTGATTTAGGTAATGAAGATATGGATTTGGAAATAATTAAGGATGGGAATCAAATGATCTTGGGTGAGACTTTATTTAGTCAAGATATTGTTCGATTGGATTCCCAAAGGATACCTTCAATTAAGGTTAGGAAAAATTCAAAAAGTGGGGGACCTCTGAGAAGATCTTCTTCTCTGGACAATTTAGGAAAAAAGAATTTGAGTCCTAGAGAAGTCCCTTTGAAAGATTTTAATAAGCAATTAAAGAAGAAATCCCAGGATTTTAGGAAATTACCTTTCCCTCATGCGAATGCCTTAATTGAAGTGGGAAAAGAGAATTTTCTATCTCCTCAGAGAGAGAATTATGATCCCCTCAATATTGTTCCTCCGGATCGGGTGGTAACTTTAGCGAGCCATGAATCCTCTCCATCCCCCAATTACGCTGGAAGTGAGAATGCCTCCGGACTATACAACATTCCTCGATTATCTTATGGAAGGTCCGACAATGGTGTCAGTTCACCCGTTGATTCACAAGGTGGAACTCAATGTAAGTTCATTCCTGCCTCCGGTTCATGTTCCGAAGGAATTATTGGCAACGATCAAAATTCCTATGGAATTGATTCACCCTCTGAAGGACCTGTCAAGGGATTTCATGAGAATCCTGCCTAGAGTTCCTTTGAACTTATATGACCGTGTTCCTTTATTTCCGATGTTTAATATGTCGCTCAAAATAATGATGTGGAATGTTCAAGGAGCAGGGAAACAAGCCTTCCTTCCTACTCTTAGGGAGATTATTAGAATTAATACTCCTAATGTGCTGGCTCTTGTGGAAACTCATATTAGTGGTGAGAGAGCTCAAAAGATTTGTGACAAAATAGGATTTTCTGGCCAAACTCGTGTTGAAGCTCAGGGCTTTAGCGGAGGGATTTGGTTGTTTTGGAAACAAGATGAAGTGAGTGTTGTTCCTATTGAACACCATGGTCAACATATCACTGTGAAAATTGCAAGGATAGGTGATGATCCTTGGATTTTTTCGGCTATTTATGCCAGTCCAGACTCAACTATTCATAGAGATTTGTGGAATGCAATGGAAAATATTAAGAACAACTTTTCTGGCCCGTGGCTCTTGGCGGGAGATTTTAATGAAACAAGAAGTATGTCTGAAAGACAAGGTGTAGGGGGTTCAGAAATGCAAAGAAGATGTCTGCAATTTAGCAATTGGATGGAGAATAATGATCTCATAGATCTCGGATACTCGGGTCCTGCGCATACCTGGGCTAGGGGAGAGTCTGCCCAGACCTATAAATCTGCAAGATTGGACCGATTTATCTCTAATCAAGACTGGAGGTTAAAGTTCGAAGAGGGTGCGGTTCGACACCTGCCAAAAGCTTGCTCAGATCACTGTCCAATTTTATTGAGTACTTGTGGTTTTGCTCCGATTCCTATGTCTCTTAAGCCTTTCCGGTTCCAAGCGGCTTGGCTAACTTATGAGAAGTTTGAAGAATTTATGGTTCAAAATTGGAATAATGATATCCCACTAATTTCCTTTCTGAATTTTTTCTCGGATAAGCTGAATGATTGGAATAGGGATATCTTTCGCAATATATTTCGTAGGAAATCTCGATTATGGGCACGGTTAGAGGGCATTCAGAAAGTGTTGGCTGAAAAAAGAGTAGACAGGTTGATTGATCTTGAAAAGTCCTTAAAGCTTGAGATGGTGCAAGTTCTACAGCAAAAAGAGCTTCTGTGGTTTCAAAAATCGAGATTAGAAGCTATTAGAGATGGAGACCGAAATACAAAGTTTTTTCATCTTTCCACTGTAATTCGAAGAAGGAGAAATAAGATAGATATGCTGCAAAATTCTAGTGGGGAATGGATTACTGACCCTGCGCAGGTGAAAAATTTGGTGGTTGATTATTGGGAAAGGCTGTTTCAAGAGGAAAATCCCCAGGAAAATGTGCATGATTTTATGCCCAATTGCTTTCCTCCCATTCCTGAGGATGAATGGCAGAACTTAACCAAGCCTTATGCGCCTTGTGAGATTTACAGAGCTCTAATGTCGATGAGACCGTATAAAGCTCCAGGTCCGGATGGATTCCAACCGGTGTTCTATCAACACTTTTGGCAGTTGGTGCAGCCCTCGGTTACTCGAACAGTCATAGATGTTCTAGAGGGGAAATCTTTTCCAGAGGATTTGAATAAAGCATTTTTGGTTCTTATCCCCAAAGACTCGAATCCCCAATTGGTGACACAATTTAGGCCGATAGGACTTTGTAATATTATCTATAAATTGGTCACGAAGGTAGTTGTGAATCGGCTTAAAGGTATGCTCCCATCGGTGATATCTCCTACACAGTGCAGTTTTGTACCTAGGAGACAAATCACAGATAACATAATAATCGTCCAAGAAATGCTTCATACGATGAGGAAAAAACAGGGGAAAGTGGGGTACATGGCTATCAAGATAGATTTTGAGAAGGCTTATGACCGGTTGAGATGGAGCTTTATTAGACAAGCTCTAATGGATATTAGCTTACCTCAAGGTTTGGTTGAGCTAATCATGAACTGCGTAACTTCAACTTCCCTCCAGATTTTGTGGAACGGGGAACCTACTGATAGTTTCAAACCCACGAGAGGGATACGTCAAGGGGACCCTCTTTCGCCTTATCTCTATGTGATTTGTATGGAAAGGCTAGCGCATATCATTGACAGGGCTATTCAATTGGGTGCGTGGAAACCTGTTAAAGCTTGTAGAGCTGGGCCGGAAATATCAAATCTTGCATTTGCTGACGATCTGATTTTATTTTCGGAAGCCACTCCGGATCAAGCCCAAATAGTTGCAGCGTGTTTAGAACAATTTTGTGAGAAGCCAGGAAGCAAAGTGAGCTGCTCCAAGTCTCGTGTTTTCTTCTCCAGAAATACAGATTTGGAAGAAAGGCATACCATTAGTGAGAATTTAAGGATTGAGGAAACAGATGATCTAGGTTCTTACTTGGGAGTTCCTACTATTAATGGTCGAACTTCGAAAAAAGAGTATCAATTTTTGGTTGATCGCATCAATGGAAAGTTGGCAGGGTGGAAATCGAAGCTAATTTCAATGGCTGGAAGGGCAACCCTTGTTCAATCATGTATTAGATCTATGCCGTATTATGCTATGCAAACTACAAAGCTCCCTCGGTCAACTTGTGATGAGATTGATCGTATTTCTAGGAGATTTCTTTGGGGTGGATCGGAGGAAAAAAAGAGGTGTCATCTGGTTGCATGGGAAGTTGTTAATAAACCTAAGAATGCGGGAGGACTTGGAATTAGGTCTATGAGGCAAGCGAATGCAGCCTTCTTGTCTAAACTAGGCTGGAGAGTACTTGCGGAACCGGATGCCTTGTGGTCTAGAGTGCTTAGAAATAAATATTGTGAAGGGAGATGTGATGTTGACATGTTCAAGGTTAAGAATGATGCATCGAATGCTTGGCGAGGTATAGTTGATAATATTGATGTTTTGCGAAAAGGGATTAGTAAGGCAGTAGGTAATGGCTTGAATACTTCCTTTTGGCACCACTCGTGGGCTACCCCTAAGCCACTGATTGAGTATACATCTGTGGAACCTCCTGGTGAGTCAATTAATCTCTTGGTAAAGGATGTTTGGGATCAAAATACTGGCTGGAAGCTGGAATATTTTGCGGATTACCTTCCCCCTGCTATCCTGAGAATTATTGAATCATTCGAATTGCAAGAGGATGATGAGGCTATTGACCAAATATTCTGGAATGGTGAAGCGTCAGGCAAGTTCTCTATAAAATCAGCTTTACAACTGATTCGAGGGGATGAGGTGGATGAACCGTGGGGATTTTGGGATCAACTGTGGAAGCTGAAAATCCCTCAAAGAATCAGATTCTTTTTATGGTTGCTACTTCGAGATCGATTGATGTCTAATGCTAATAGATTTTTGAGGCACTTGTCTGAAAATCCGAGGTGTTTTGTTTGTGGAGCAATAGAGGAGAATGTGGAGCATATATTTCAAAGCTGCCCTGCTGCAATTTTGATTTGGAAGAAATTTCCTTGGTTAGAGGATAATGAGATTTTTGGGAGACCTTTTAATGATTGGGTGGAATATAATCTTCGGCCGAGTAATGTGTCTTGGGTGGAAGATTGGCATATTGTTTTTGCTGTCACTCTTTGGTGGATATGGAGGTGGAGAAATAACAAGTGTTTTGGGAGAGAGGTGGATATGCCGTTTGATCCAGTGAGTTTCATTATGGCAAGGGTAGATTTTATTCAGAGAGTTATGAAACACGATGACCTTATGCTGGGCAAGAGAAAGAGGAGTAGAGAAGTGAGATATATAAGGTGGGAAGCTCCAAGGATGGGGTGGGTGAGACTTAATACGGATGGAGCTTCAAGGGGGAACCCAGGTGCTGCTGGGTGCAGGGGTATAATTAGAGGCCATAGGGGAGAACTCTTTGAAGTTTTCTCTGCTAAGTGTGGGGTATGCTCTTCTACTAAGGCTGAACTTCTAGCTGTTGTTCGTGGTCTCGCAGTGGCTTGGAATGCTGGGCATAAGCAAGTGCAACTCTCCCTGGATTCGGAAATAGTAGTCAACCTATTAACGAAACCATCTGTTCCTAATTCTCCCTACTTCCATCTTATTCGGAGATGTAAATGCATGATTCGAAGAGAAGGTTGGAAGGTGACTATTCAACATTGTTATCGTGAGGCCAACCGGGCTGCGGATTGGCTGGCTAATGCGGGGGTGGAGTTGAACTCCCGGTTCATGCTGTATGAGGCGGTCCCTTTGGACCTTCGTGCTATTTTATTGGAGGATTTGGGAGGTGTGACTATAGCAAGGATGGTTCCGGCTAGAGCGGCTTAGTACTTGTTGTAGTCTTTTTTCTTGTTCTGTTTGTTTCTTGTGCTTTTCTGTTTTCTGTTTTTGCTCTTTTATGTTTCTAGTTTTCTAGCTTTCTCTTTGTCTTTTAGGGGCTTGCCCTTCCTCTTCACCAAAAAAAAAAAAAAAAAAAAAAAAAAAAAAAAAAAAAAAAAACATAGGATGATAGGACAGAGGATATTGTTCTACGGAATATGTACAAGGTAAACTAAGGATATCATATCTTGAAAATTATATCAAGGGATAGTCTTGATATTTATCATACTACCTCATTCACGAAAGTAGTAATTTTTTTTTTTTTTTTTTTTTTTTTTTGGTTTGAGGACATTACCAAAAGGAGGGAGGATTAATTCCTGCCATATGATATGAAATACCCTGGACCTTTGCCACTAGGCCAAATTGTCATTGATTTTATAATTATAATTTACGGAGTATTAATATATTAGCGTATTGAGTTTTACTTATATGTAATTAATGTGTTGAAACCTATGCGATGGAGGAGATGAAAAATGAAAACTCCAAGCAGGAATGGAAGACCTACATCCACGCCCAACCTGCTCCATTGACAGTTTGACACCCCCACGAGGCCACGAGCACGCTCATCTAATAGCAGGGGAGGGATTAAAAATAAAATAAAATAGAAGGCAGAAGCTAAGGAATTTGGAGAAAGGGAGCAATCTACAAAATTACAATAATCTACATTTTAGCATTATCAGTAATAATTTCTTTTACTTCGCTCAATTTTCCTTCCTACACGTTGAACAAAAATAAATACTCCGTATATAAAATTAAATTATGCAGCAGAATCGTCAGCACCATTGCCAAATGGATATTCGACATCCAAAACCAATTTGATTTCATTATCAAGCTTAGTATCTTCTTCTGCTTTCGTATCTTTGGCATCCTTGGAAAGCAAGTTGCAATGGATGAAATGCCAAACTGGCCGCTCTTCTTGGAAAAGACTGCAAAGAGGACATTAGGTTATGTAACAAGCAAGATTTTTTTTCCAATTCAAATGATTTATCACAACGATTCATCCCCTCATCATTAAGAATATAACATTATTTTGCAAAAAGATCTCTCCATCATCATATTATTTAGAAAGGTGAAAACATTGTTAAAATAACTTGAAACAATGTGACATATGATTCCAGACAAACGGGGATGAATAATTAGTAATGAAAACAGAACACGAACAAGAGAGAGACACTCACGGGTGTGAACAAAGCATCGGAGATTGAACTGTAAGTGCATATTTACAGGTGGATAACTCTGTAATAGAGGTAATCATTGCTTTGCCCTCTGAACACACAAATCGTACCTGAGATGAATACAAGGAAGGACTTAATAATGAGCACAGGCAAAGTGTGAGCAGTTTGACAGGTGAAGTGTAAAAGGTTTATACCTCTGTCTCTCGATGCTGATTTGTAAGGTCACATACTGTTCCATTGGTATATTGATGAGCATGATACCTGCATAGCTCACACCATCAATAGCATATGTCAGCAGTAGGAACAACATATATCTGCATCAATCTAGTTATATAATTAAATGTTATCATACCTCTGAGAAGCATCTTTAGAATGTGGATCTTTCAATATAGATATGTCGGAGAGATTCTGGTTAAAAGCAGCTGTAGCTTCAGGATCATATTCTCCTAACACAAACTCCTGAGCTATCTGAATCATCATGGTTTATGTTAGAGCACATAATTTCATGCAAAATTTGAATGCAATATTGAATAACTTTCCAACTGACCGCTAAAAAAAAGGCTCTGTTGTCCCATACTCTCATATAAGGTGTTGGAAGGAAATGGGAAACATCTGATGATGTAAGGCAAACAGCAGATGGTTGATTTGGAAAATTTTACAAGATATAAATTAAAATTTAATTGAAATTTGGCACCGCACAACATCAGTCTAAGGCAGTTAGAAAAGCAGGGGAAAAGGCAAGGCATAAAATACATAAATTAATTCCCCCCCCCCCCTCCCCCTCTCTCCCCACCCACCCACCCACACACACACACACACACAAAGACATCTGCATCAAGAAATAGGATATCAAAAGCATTTGCCACCAATGAATAAATCAGAAAACAAGCCAACTCCGGCTTTATTTCTTCAGTAATGAGAGGTCGTCTATAAGGGAATTGAACTCAGCCTTTTCATTTAAGATTTGATTTGCTATGCAACAAAAACTAAAGCATTAATCATACTAAAAAATGATCAAACTATCACCTTGTAATACACCAGGATTCAATCAGTAACATGGTTGGCATTTTAGCAAGATAAGTAGAAAGGGCAACAGACCAAAAGACTCATGAATTTACCTTATCATCTTCCAAATGGACCTGCCGCAGTTTCTTCTTGTAGCAGAATTCATACGTCCACCAACCCTCTTGCTGCAATAAAAGGGAAAAGAACAAGTTAATATCAATTGCATATAATACAGGAAAATTAAAAATTTGCAGCCTCCCCCTCTCCTCACCCATGAACCTGTTATTCAAGTCATTTTGCAGAAGCAGGAAATTAAGATTCTTTCTGCAAGAACAAAGGCTTGAACTCCCCCCCCCCCCCCCCACACACACACACAATATATATATATATATATATATATATATATATATATATATATATATATATATATATATATTATATATATATATATATATATATATATATATATATATATATATATATATATATATATATATATATATATATATATATATACCACTTTCTCTCTTTCAGCTGTTGAATTGATGCCAATCATGCCATTAAGACCCTACATTTCTACCTGTAACCCAGTTATGACATGCATGATATATATTTTTCTTAATTGTTAACATTTTTTGCAAACACAAATACAAACACAGATATTCAGCTTCAGGTTGATTTGTTTTTTAGTTATTGTTGAAATCCATATAATTCTCACTTCTTATATTAATCTCTACCAATAAATGATTCAATCATTCAAGATTATATAGGCATAAAGGTGAATATCAAGCCTCAGGGATTTCATATGCAAGATGAAGCATAAAGGTATCTAAAACAGAGAGGAGTCAATGTAACAAAAAAATTCACGTAAAAGGGGATTGATACTGACCCTGAGAAGACACTGCTCCTCCAGTACTTCAAGTAGCTCATCTGGTGTCTTGACTTTCATTCGTTTCTCACTTTCCATAATCATGCCACTGGTATTATATTGGCTGACTGGCTTCCCACTCTTAGGTTTCTCAATCTTGGGTAGGAAGCACAAATAATTCTTCCCATCTTCATTTGGCATGAAGACAGATTCCTGGTCATCACCCTGTAGATCAATGTCAAGCAACAATATCACCAATATGTGGATTAAAAGTAAGACAACCACAGAAAATGATATTTAATCAAAACAGAAGAGAAAGTGTATGCCGAAGTGTTTGGCCAACATATAAAGGGGATGCTGCTATTAAATTTATTCCATTTGCCTACCTCAGACAATGTGAATGGATGAAAAACTAGGTTGGCCTAACTGTAAGGCATCAAGACAAGCTTTTGAAGTTTTGAGTGCTACCAAATTAAGGAATCTACCCAATATAGCTGAACCATATCTAACACTCATCTACCAGTCGGATTGGAGTTGTTTGACCCTTTTCTCTTCCAATCCTTCTATTTCTAGATATGGTCTGTGTAGCTACTTAAACAATTTCAATCCTGAGAGGCTTAAAAATGAGAATAACCTATGTCTGAGATCAAGGCATAAGCTGGATCAGATGCATTAAGTTTATTTAAGAGCACTAGATTGCAGAAGAGAGCAAGATAACTTAACTTTAGTCTCAGAAAATTTAACACTTTGTTTGGATAGAAAGAAATGGAAGGAAAAGAAAAGAAGAGAAAGGGAGGGAGGCAAATTCTCTTGTTTGGGTAAAGAATTGGGGGAAGGAGAGGGAGGGATCTATTTTCCCTCTCTTTTTAATAAGCATAATCTCTCCAAAGTCGGAGAGATTTGGAGGGAAAATGGAGCTCACCGCCCCCTCCCTTTCTCTTCCCTTCCCTTACTCCTTTTTCCCTCCCCTTCCTTTCCTTCCTTCTTTGCTATCCAAACAAAGCATAAAAAGCTAATTTCAAGACAAAAGGTAACAAACTATCTATGAATAACAGAATAAGAAGAGAACTTTACAGATCCAACGACTGAGTTGTGGAAAACTATAGGTTAAGTCTAAATAGCTACATACCTAGCACTCCCGTACCAACAACCACCTCAGCTTCTCACAAGTTAGAGAACAAGCCAAGGAGATATTATGTCCTCAACATTAATAATGGAACACATGCTAGGTGGAATAAAATCAATTCCTAGCTTTAATTTCAGAGTAAAAGTTCTTGCAAACAATCTCAATGTAGAATATATTGAAACTTAATTGATCCATTAGTCAAGAAAGATAAAGAATGAACCAAACCAAAATGATAGCTAAAAGCTCAGCAGTATCATAAGCAACCCAAAGATGATATAAGGTTCGTGATAGATACAAAGAAAAAAATACACACTTATATCAGCTAGCTTACAGGAATATATGGCACGTCTTCGGAGTGGAATTCAATCTTGTATTTTGGTTCACGTGACCTGTCAGAATTTGTGCCACCTGCATTTTGAGCAATAAGCACGAGTAAGTTTCCATTTCCAAATAAATGGCCAGGAATGTCACTGCAATAAAACTAATAAATTAACAGGAAATAGCAAAATGTTTAAATTTGCAGCTAATAACATTAGAATGCAGATGAAGCAGGTCATAGGTCTTCAAAGTTTGCAGATCATCGAGTAAACAAACCAGGCTATCCCTTATAAACTCCAAGAAGATATGGTAAGGATGTGAAACTATATCATTTTAGGTGTCTACATCAAAATCAATATCATATGATTCATAACTTTTGAACTAAAGCAGTTTCCAGTCTGTCCACTAATTTGCTAATGCTCGTATGAACCAGAATCCATAAATACAGCATAGGTTGTGTAATATGGTACATGGTGCAATGGATTTCTGAGCAAGAACAACAGTATGAAGCAAATTACATACCCGTTCCACATAACAAAACATACTACATTACCGGTAGCACAGGTCTAAAAGGAAGCTCTTAAGTCAAGAGGGACTAGATGTGAGGATATCATGCAAGTAACCTTAACCTATTGATAACATGGAGATCACCCTTGATCCGCCTATTCGATTAAGCTTTGGCATGCAACAATACCCATTCTCTGGATACCATCTTTAATCAGATTATGTTCGACACTACCACGAATCAATCAAATTGGTCACAATCATTCAACCAAGAGATTAACAGCTTAAAAACCACTAAACAAGTCACCATCACATAGAAATAACTTGCTCAAGCGAATCGATTTTTCCATAACAATCTCAACCAACAAAAAGCAAATTACTCTTCGATTAACATCAAGTTATCAGCCATTATTAACTCAAAATCAAAATATAGTCCAGATTTCCTCTCATGGAAATTCATACTTACTCAAAATTCAAAGGATTTTAAACTAAAACCTAATAAGACCCAGAAGCTCCAGCTACAGAATAAGCAAATCTCTGTTTTCACATCAATAAAATAACAACAGAAATTAAACCCAGAAAACACTCACAATTAGGGTTCTAAATTACCCAACTGTTTAGAAGAAAAAACCGAATCATAATAACTTTATATTTGAACTATATATTAATATCATAATTTGAGCAAGAACAATATTAACTAGACAATTTGATTAAAAAAAAAAAAACAAAAACTTGAAATTTTAGAAAGGGATTAGTATGATATGATTTACCTAATCGAGCTGTGATTACTTGATCAGCTAAAATTTTCTGGGTTAAGAAAAAAAGGAAAATCTGGGCAACAATCAACCAAGAAAATCTCATCTTTGATAAAATCAAATTAATCAAAAACCCAGGATTAATTCTTGAAATTGTTCCTGGTAGGAGAGAGAAGAAGAAAGAATGATGATGAAGAAGAAAGAAGTTGGTTGGGTCGTTAATTTTTGCAAACGGGTACGGGTGTGAGACCCGTGATAGTTAAAATGATATTGGAATTTGAAATTGCCACTTATTTGGACCAATCAAAATAATCCTTTTTAAGAAGAAAATTAAGGGTTAGTTTAGAATGGATCAAAGTGTGATGGATTTGGAATTGGGATTCGGATTCGGATTTGAGAGGTAGATAGTGCATGGGCTTTAAGAGAAGTACAACTAAATTTGGGTCTTACCTTCTTTCTTTTTTTTTTTTTTTTTTTTTTTTTTTTTTTTTTTTTTTTTTTGAAAAATAGTAAATCTATGTTATGGAGTAGTTTTTTTTTAAAAAAAAAACAAAAGAATTGGTTGAGCAAACAAATTGAATGATTCCGTTCAAAAAAAAAAAAAAAAGAAATTGAATGATTCTAACTGTAGAGAATATTTATGGATGATGATACAAATAAAGTATGTAGTGATTATTTTGAAAATTTAGGTCAGTATAGTCAAAAAGAACATACTTAGAAAATTAATTAATGTAACATTAAAATATGTTACCGTATAAATTTTTTATAGTAGAGATTTTCTTAAATTTTTTCACGCTATCTCAAGAGTCTAACTTACAATTTTGCAAAGATGATTTAAATTGGTTTGAGGGGATTTTCCTAAAATATAAAAAATAAAAAAAAATTTAAAAAAAATCCCTTTCTATTAAAAGCAAGAGTAAACTATTCGCCACAATAATCAATAAATAGGGGAGAAAAGGGTATGCACTGGGTAAAGAGGGAGATTGTTCAAAGACCGAAGGGTATGGGAGGCCTAGGTATTAGATCTATGGCATGCTTGAATGATGCTCTATTGTTCAAGCAGGTTACGCGTATGCATTGCAACCCCCAGTTATTAGTGGCTAGATCTTTGGAGCCTAGTCACAATTGTTCCCTATATAGGGGAGTTGTAAGAACGGATCTCAGAGGTAACGCTTCGTGGGGCAGACGTGGTTTGTTTAATGTGGCAAATAAAATGGTGAAAGACTATAATTGGAAGATCGGAACTGGAGATAGAGTGAGAGTTGCAAATATGAGATGGGTACATGGTTCAGCTCCATTTTTCAAGTCTGACCAACCCCTTAGGGGGGTGGGATCGGGGAGAGTGAGAGATTTGATTTCTCAAGAAACTAGATCTTGAAATGTAAGCATTAATCAGAGAGAAGTTTGAATGGAGCACAGCGCAGAAGATTTTGGAGATGGAGCTACCATCAACTGAGGAAACGGATAGATATATACTGGGGCTACCATGTAATACCCCGTATTTTTATAAAGTATTTAAGTAATAATAAAATGTATTGTCAAGGGTTTAATTAAATATTTTAAAGGGTTAAAGTATTTTAAATATAAAGTTTTATAAAAGTAAAATAAGTTTTGGGCCAAACGTTTATTAATTATTGGGCAATGTAAATTATTCCTACATACTCTTATTGGAATAATCCATTCCAAAACCCATAACTTAAGCCCTATCCCATAACTTAAGCCCACATTTTTATAAGCCCAAATTTAACCCTACACTTTCTACTCTATAAATATCCCATGAATCCCCAAAAATTTCCCACATAAAAAGATTAGTCTTATTTTCGCTCTCCTTTGTTTTATTAATTTGTGTAATTATAATTATTGATTTATGGGTTTTAATTTTATTGTTTGAAATTAATTTAATTAGTATCAAATTGTATTTTTATGATTAAGCTTTATAATTTTCAGATTTTGTAAATTTTATAACCTAGGGTTTTTAATTATTGAAAATCATGATTTTAGGGTTTTATGAATAATTGATTTAGGGCTTTTATAGTAATGATGTTTTAAAATTTTGGTGATTATAACTACTTATTAGTTTAACTTAATTCCAGATTATTTTGAACACGTAAATTCATGTTTTAATTATTAGATTTCCGTTCGTTAATATTAATCCCGTTTTAATCCCGATCAGGTTCTAAACTCCTCCAATTTTGATAAAAAAAAGTAGTGTTTTTCGAGTGGAAACAACGTTTTAAAAAAAGACTCACTACCTTTGGTAGTGAACACCACCCTCTCATGGCCAAATTAAGCCTCTAAATACGATTTTTGAGCAGTTTTTGATTTTTGACGAAGTTTTTTTTTTATGCTTTAAATTTTATCTTTGAGTTTAAAATGGGTAAGAGATAATTTAATGTTTATATGGATAATTTAAGTATAAAGATGTATTTTGATAAAGTTTTACAGGATTTTTGATTAGTTTAAAATGTTGGAATTTTATTTAAAGTAGTATAATTGTGATTTTTAATAAAAGGGTGTGATTATCCATTAAAAAAGAGTTTAATTAGGGGTTTTAAAATAATTTTCAGATTATTATAAGTTATTTAAAGTGAGTTTAGGTTGCTGGAAATTGTGTATACAAGGATAATTAATATAGTATTATTGTCCCTTTATGTAGGAGACTTGGTTTGAGAATTGTTGTAGAGTACTCGGTTATTTTAAGAGCTTATTTGAGGTACGTACGCGTACTTAGCATATTTTGATGATGTAGAATCATGCTAGGTTGGATTTCAATCAATTACAAGTAGTATCACGCTAAGGTTTATGTATGGAATTGTGAATTTATGGTGTTTGTGATTGAATTGTGAAGCATGAATTATTTGTGATGGTTATGGATTGGAAAATTATATTTTGGGCATGTTGTGTTTGAACCACATTTTTATTTATGGCATGTTAGAAGGCATGATTAATTAAACTACATGTTTAATTATGTTTGGAATATTGAAAAGGAATTTTATTATGGTTCAAATAATTTTTATTGATGCTTTAAGCATGAGGAAGGAGCTATATAAGTGTCTATGTACACAAGAAATAAATTGTATGTTGGTGCCTTTGTGCACTTAAGGTGTTTTTAACACCGAGGGATAGGATTTTTGGCGCATTATGCGTTTAAGGTGTCTTTGACACTGAGGTAGAATTAAAAAAAAGGGTTCAACATTAAATAATATGTGGTCACTAAGTGTTCAGAATTAATTTGGTATGTTTGGTTGATTGAATAATTATTGTTGATTGTTTTCTGATGCTTTGAGAGTCAACACCAAGTCCAATAAAAGGTAAATAACGTAAAGTGAAAGAGATTACGCACCAAAACTCTTGAAACGTATATACCTTGAGTATGAACAATGGGGGGAGTTATTGGGTTTTATATTTAACCATAACTTCTAATGGAGTACAGGACGCTGTACATTCCTTTTTATTTATTATTATGCGCAGGAATTCCGCCACCTTTGAGTGGTTTTGTCGCTGGCACGGTTAGCTCCCATGTCAGTTAACCTCAATTTATTTGGGGGAGGTTAGGAGGAGGAAACCCGTTCTATGTGTAATCAAAGCTAAATGAATTAATTAGTGTCTAGTCATTGTGTCTTGTTTATTGGTGTGTGTGCTTGTGAACAGGTGCAATGAGGTAAGTGTGTATTGATAGGTGAAAGCATGTTAGTGTGTTTAATTACGCTTATGTACTCAGCTTTGCTGATTGTGTGTGTTTGTGTGTTTGGCCATGTCTTTAATTTGGCCCTACGACGACCCATTTTCTAATGGCGAGTAGTGGGGACAAGTAGAGAGGAGGTTTTCAGGTGATGAAGCATATTCATGAATGGGCAAGGGTGAAAAGCGAATCATGCTAGTTTCTATAAGAATATGATGGGTTTAACGCTTTAATTATTTATGATATTATTATCATGCATGACTAACGCAAAAGTTTTAAAGTCGGTTTGGTTTTAATAAGGGCCTACAATGGTTCCAAGTTGTAGGATGGTTTTATTTTACTTCGTTTGACTTTGGTTTTGACTTTACTTTCGTTGGTTGACTTTTCAAGTTAACTTGTTTTGAACGGTTTTGAAGTTAGTCTTCCGCTGTGTGTCTTTGATGGTTGCCTTAGCCGTTTCCACGGTGGCGGTAATATCTTAGATATTCCTATTTAAACTTTTAAACAGGGTAAAAACATGTATTTTGAAAGAAAGGGATTTCTAAGGTGTTATATACCATGCCTCAGGGATGTATACGGTTAAGACAGGATATGCTTTTCTAATGAATGATTTATCTGTGTAACAAGATGATCGTTTGGAGTATACCTTCTACAGTCTAATATGGAAACTTAACATCCCGCCGAAATGGAGTTTGTTCCTATGGAAGCTCGTGATGAATGGCTTGGCGGTAAAGTCAAATTTAGCCCGGCAGGGAATTGATATAGATGATTATTGTGATTCATGTGGAATGGAAAATAAGGACCTTCAACATCTGTTTAGGATGTGCTCTTTTGCGAAGTACGCTTGGCATAATTGCCCTTTGCGTATTTCCTCTGAAATTGATGAATCTACTCCTCTGAGATACTGGATTCAGCACTATATCCTGCTTTTTCATAGCAAGGATAGAAAGAAGAGTGACCGTATAACTACGTTTATTGGAGTACTCCGGAGCCTTTGGTTAACAAGAAATGGTAGAGTTTTTAGTAATGTGGGAGGGTATCTGGTGGATTTGTTTAGGTATTATAACCAGGCAATGACAGATTTAGCTGTATGACGCAAGGTGGATGGGGGAGATGTCCTTCGAGAGAAGGGCACTATGGTACACGGACCTCCTCCAGGGTTTGAGATAGTCAATATAGGAAACGACAGGGATGATATTATTGATCCAATTGACTCCAGGATAGAGATGATTATCAAGGTGGATGGGTCTTGGAGCAAGAGGGATGGGAATGCAGGTGCGGGATGGGTTTATTCAATGGATAACCAAAATTTTGTTGCAGGTGGTGGGAATTACGGTAAGGCACTTTCTCCTCTTCATGCCGAACTATTGGCTTGTGTGGCGGCTATTAGGTGGGCCCGAATGAACGGAAACCGAAGAATTGTCTTGTTCACTGACTCACTAGCCATTGTCCAATTATTCCAACAGCCGGAAAGAAGGGAAGCGCGTTTGCTATGGACAATACAAGACTTATTACAGGAAGGAAAACTGTTTCAAACATGTCTAGTCTGGAAAGTTAGCAGGGACCAGGTTGTTCAGGCTCATGACATTGCTACTAGATGTAGGGTAGATT